TCCCCCCCCCCCCCCATAGCTCAGTTGCTTGGAATGTGCTAATTGGAGCTTCAAGGGCGGTTGGTACTACCCTCAGCTGAAAACAGTTTAGCTCTGGCTTTTCACAGCCTGAACCAAAGATCTTATTTTGCAGAACAGAGCAAGGAACCATTTTTCTTTACAGTCAGATCCAGCCCTTGTAACAAATGAGTTTGAACACCTCTGGTCTAACCAGATTTTCCACTGTTGAAAAGGGAGGGGGAGATCCTTTCATCACTGAAAAGGCTATTCTGGAGCTCACGGGCCCTGCAGGTGAAAAAGACACGTGGTGAGGGCTGTACTGGGGAATGGGGTAAGATTGAATGGAAAAGATCATGTCAACTTTTTCTGCCTGCCTATATTCTGTGGACTGAGAAACTATTTTATGCTTCTGACAAAGCTGGCTCCGTCTGTCCCACAAAAGCATCTGCTTCCATATCTCTGTTAACCTTTAAGTTGCCACAAGATGCCTTTTTGCAATCCCCCCCACCCTTTGCTGGAAATCTTACCGTTCCCTCTGGCTTCTGACATTCATGGATCGTTCCTCCCTATCTTTTTAGCATGAGGACCAGAAACTTGTCTCCGAATAAACAGAACAGTAAGAACAGGGATTGTCAATTAGCAGGAAGTCTTGCATATTCTAATGCCCCTCGAGCTCACCGCATGCGCAGTTCCCATGAGAGAAAGGGAGGGCCTCCAGGAAGTGATTGCCTGGGAGAAAAGGGATGTTCTAGCCAGGAGTTGAAAGGAAGAACGAATGGAAAACAGTTGATGTGAGGTTGCCGCAGAGCTTGCCAAAGACCCAGGCTCCCAGTATCCGCTAATGAGCATCTGCCTCGGGCTGCCCAGCATCTCCGTCTGTTGCCCGGTAAAAAGAAATGTCAGCCGCACCCAGTCCCACCGTGTTTGTGACTCTGCCCTGTTGTGTCTTCCCTCCCCAGTAAAGTATTTGGGACTGCTGGCGATGTCCAAAATCCTGAAAACCCACCCCAAGTCCGTTCAGTCTCATAAGGATCTCATCCTCCAGTGCCTGGACGACAAGGACGAGTCCATCCGCCTCCGCGCCTTAGACCTTCTCTACGGAATGGTGCGTTGCCCTGACGTCCCCCTCATCCCGGCCGTGCGGCTTTACCTGCTTGGTTCCCCCCTCCCCCTGTTGTCAGTGGTGATAAGAAGACTACAGCACCATTGTGGCTGGCTCCCGAATGGGGGTTGTCATCTTGGGCAGTGGAACACGCACACACCCCACCCAGTGCCTGTTATATTGAGTGGTCCTGCAGAGGAGGATTTGGCTGTTGCAAGGGCCCTCGGAGGAGTGCGCTGTGTAGTTGTACACAGGCACACACACATGAAAGCTGCAGTATACTGCATCAGGCTCGGTCCATCAGGGACAGTACCGTCTGCTCGCATTGGCAGCAGGTCTCTAAGGTCTCAGGTGGAGATTTGTCACACCAGCCACTACCTGGTCCTTTTTAACCAGGGATTGAGCCTGGGACCCTCTGCGTGCCAAGCAGAGGCTCTGCCACCTAGACGCAGCCCATCCCTGGACACCTTGCGTGCACCCCAACTACTGGATCCCCAAGCGTGAGGGCTGGGTCACCCTGCATCGGGGGGGGAGGGGTCAGTGTGGGACGGCACCTTAACCACCAGCCTCTCCCTCTTCCTCCTTGCTGAGGGAAGAGCTGCAACCTGGGCCAGTCACCCAAGTGCTTGATAAAATCTCCTTTAACCACCACTCTGATAGAACATCGGACGCTACTCACGCACACACCTTCACTCATGCATACACTTTCAGTGTACACTGAAGGTTGACCGCCATCTTTTATCCATTCTGTTAGCACCTTTTAATGCTTTAATGTTATAATTGATTTATGTTGTTTTAGGGTTATCTAAATTATTTATGGGGTCGCGAAGAGTCCGACTCGACTGTGCGACTGAACAACAACAAATTGTTTATTGTGTGTGTTTCATTCTTTTGTAAGCCGCCCTGAGGCAGCCTTGCCTGGGACGGTGGGGTATAAATCGGATAATAAATAAATAAAAATATCTCTGCAGCAATGAGAACTGGAAGCTTGGCCTCTAAAATCAAAGCCCTGTACCCAGAGGGCTAGACATCTTCCAGCCTTCTCCCCCCACCCCCTCTTTCGGCTTCAGAGGTTTCTGCAATTACCGCTCACGCGTGCATATTTTTGATACAAGCCGACCCCTCCCTCAAACAAAACCTGGGGAGCTCGAGAAGCTTGATCCTGTGCTTTTCCTGCAATCCTGGGGTGCACATTCCTTTTTGGCTGCCGCTCCCTCCCAGCCAGAGATGGTGGGATGCATTGCAGGCGAGCGAGCTCTTGTGCCTGACATCTGCCTTGTGCCTCCTGCCTTTGCCCCAGGTGTCCAAAAAGAACCTGATGGAGATAGTGAAGAAGCTGATGATCCACGTGGACAAAGCCGAAGGGACGACCTACAGGGATGAGCTGCTGACCAAAATCATTGACATATGTAGCCAGTCCAATTACCAGTACATCACCAACTTTGAATGGTCTGTAGTCAGTGGTCCAGGGGGGGGGGGGGGGGGGGCTGCCCTGTTCAGGAGCCAAACATCTGAGGCTTTAGAACAGCTTTATGCCTTGCTGCCTCATGACCGAAAATGCCCTCCTTTTTTAAATTTTTAATTTTTTTTTTTTGAATTTTAACATTAATTGTTCCCAACATACCCCAGGAATACTTATCATATGAATCACAGGTCATAACTGAGGCTTAAGTTGGTACCGTTTGGTGTAGTGGTTAAGTGTGCGGACTCTAATCTGGGAGAACCGGGTTTGATTCCCCACTCCTCCACTTGCACCTGGCTGGATGACCTGGGGCAAGCCGCTGTCCTTGAAAAAGAGCAGTTTCTGTCAAGAGCCCTCTCAGCCCCACCTACCTCACAGGGTGTCTGTTGTGGGGAGGGGAAGGGAAAGGAGTTTGTAAGCCGCTCTGAGACTCCCTTGGGTAGTGAGGGACGGGTTATAAATCCAATCTCTTCTTCTTCTACTGTACAGTAAATTTAGTGTATAGGAATGAGCACAACCATCTAAGAGTTAAGAAGACACACAACACAAGTTGCTAGCTTCTAGGTTCTACCATAAATCTAAATCATCTATAACTTTGGGGATTTCTTGTGGGGAGGACAAATACTCTAGGATAGGTTAGCCAGATAGAGGAGAAGGTAGAGTGTGAAGAAGGTTTATTAAAGTATGTCAGCTTGTCTGTGAGCCTGGCCATAATATGTAAGCTCCATATCTTTTGGTGCCATTGTGAGAGGGTCGGCAACTTTGTTGATTTCCAGTTCATAGTGATGGTGTTTCTAGCTCCATAGAGCAACAAAGATACTCTTTCCATGTTAGAACAGGAGCCATCCCTGGAGGCCCAGCCATTCAATAAGTGGTGTTTCGATTGATATTGAGGTTTGTACTAGTGATGGATGGAGATGCCCTCCTTGAGAGCCAGTTTGGTGTAGTGGTTAAGTGCGCAGACTCTAATCTGGGAGAACCGGGTTTGATTCCCCACTCCTCCACTTGCACCTGGCTGGATGGTTTTGGGCAAGCCGTAGCTCTGATAAGAGCTGTCCTTGAAAAACAGCAGTTTCCGTCCGAGCTCTCTCAGCCCCACCTACTGTCGAGGTCTGCACGGTGCTAGCCCACTGCAGATTGCGAGTGGTGTGAGAGTATCAAAGAAGACGTAAGTCTTATAGGCTTGGTGTAAAATGATACACAATTTATTTACACGAGCCTCCACCAATATTGCACAGAACGACAAAATGCTCACGCAGACACCAGGTTTCCATCAGGAAGAATGGTACATTGTACGGCACCACATATATACAAGCATTGTCCAATCAGGACCCAATGCTGAGTCACTGTTAATTAGCTCTGCTATCAACTAGACAGAACCAGTTGGAGCCAGCTCTACTGACACTCTGAGCTGTCAGCTCCTGTCAAACAGATTGATATGATCTACAGCCAGACTTATAGAACACATGGATGTTGACAGCTACCTCACAGGTTGTCTGTTGTGGGGAGGGGAAAGGAAAGGAGTTTGTAAGCCACTCCGAGACTCCTTCGGGTAGTGAAGGGCGGGGTATAAATCCAATCTCTTCTTCTTCTCTTCTTGAAAATTCTCTCAAAGGTCAGAGAGGCAGGATCCAGGAAAAGAAGAGCAAAAGGAGGGGGGAACCTCATAAGGTCGTAGCAGGGCTATCAGAGGAGGCTTGGAGGAAGGAAAGTTGTCGAGGGAAAAGGGGAAACATCTTGGGAGGGTGGAGATCCACACGTCCAACAGAGTGTATTTATACTCATTGAAAACCACCAGCCAGACCTTTGGCTCTTGCAGGTCCCTCCCCCCACTTTCCTTATCAGCCAGTCTCCCCGCCTTCTCCGCATTTGTGACGAAGGCCGTCTCCTCCTCTGCCTGCCGCAGGTACATCAGCATTCTGGTAGAGCTGACCCGGCTCGAGGGCACCCGCCACGGGCACCTCATCGCCTCCCAGATGCTGGACGTGGCCATCCGCGTGAAGGCCATCCGCAAGTTTGCCGTCTCTCAGATGGCAATGCTCCTGGACAACGCCCACCTGCTGGCTAGCAACACCCAGAGGAACGGGATCTGCGAGGTGCTGTATGCCGCCGCCTGGATATGCGGGGAGTTCTCTGAGTAAGTGTGTCAAGGCTGTGTTTGTGGCGATGGGAAAGGGCTCGCCAGCCTGGAGGAGGGGGCTGAGTTCTCTTTTGTTGCCCGGCGTGGTCAGGGGGAGCCTCCGGTATAGCCCCCTTTCCCACTCCCGAAGGTGGTCTCGTGAGACGTTGGCCTATGCGCACACTCGAAGTTTGGATTAACCAAAAACGAAGCACCTCTTCAGTGAGACTTTCAGTGTTTGTTCAGTTGGCAACGGTGGGATGCGTTGCATAGGGCTTCTAAGAAGTGGACAGGCAGGAGGAAAGGTACAGAAATCCAAGGGACCCAAGCAATGTTCCAGTGTGGGGTAGCAGCAGTACCCATTCTAATCTTGCTAGCTTCAAGTCCAGTAGCACCTTAGAGAGCCCAACAAGAATTTCGGGGTATGAATTTTTCAAGAACCAAAGCTCCCTTCATCAGATACAAGTAGGACTGGCTGCCCATGAGTCTTATATCCCATTCTGAAGATGGCGGGGGCATTCCAAAGAAAGGACGCAGAGGCCCATTTTTCTTCTCTGCTCTAATCAAGCTGGTTACGTTGTGCACTGTGTCCCTGCATCCTTCCTTTTGAGATATCTAACGAAGGGAGCATTGACCCTCAAAAGCTCATACCCTGAAAATCCTGCCGGTCTTTAAGGTGCTGCTGGACTCCAGTCCGGCAGTTCTACTGCAGACCGACGCGGCTGCCCCTCTGTAACATTCCAATCTTGTGCATGTTCCCCTAAAAACGGGGGGCGTCTCTGTGGTCATCTTTGCTCGGGGGCTGGCGATGGATCTCAGTAGCCCACACGGGGCACGGGCTCTGATGTGTGCTTTCCTTTTGCGGCGTGTGCGCTGTGCGTAGCCCTGGTTGCCCAGTCCCTGGGCCCTCTAAGCTCCCTGTTCTCCTCAGGCACCTCGAGGAGCCGCACCAGACCCTGGAAGCCATGCTGCGGCCGAAGGTCACCACCCTCCCGGGCCACATCCAAGCGGTTTACGTCCAAAACATGGTGAAGCTTTACGCCTCGATCCTGCATCAGAAGGAGCAAGCCGGCGAGAAGGAGGCGGCTCAGGAGGCCACCCAGATGATGATCGACCGCTTGCCCCAGTTTGTGCAGAGCGCCGACCTCGAAGTTCAAGAGAGGGTAACGAGTCGCTCCGAGAGCTTTCCGGGCCGAAAGGATTTCGGCGCGCCTGTTTGAGGGGTCTTGCGTTGCAACTTTTTTCCCTCCCTCTCCTCTCTTTTGCTCCACAGGCTTCCTGCATCCTGCAGCTGATGAAATACATTCACAAGCTTCAGTTAAAGGAGGTGCCGGTGGCTGAGGAAGTGATCGCCTTGTTCGCTGGGGAGCTGAACCCTGTGGCCCCCAAAGCCCAGAAGAAAGTTCCAGTTCCGGAAGGGTAAGATTCCCGCTGCTCAGCACCAGAATATTAGCTTCAGACCCCAGATATACGGATATACCTGTATACGAAGTCAACCTGTACAAGTTTGTGGGCTGAAGTATCCTGATGACTTTGATCATTTTTAAGGCAATCTCCCAGGCCAGTGATGGCGAACCTTTTAGAGACCGAGTGCCCAAACTGCGACCCAAAACCCACTTATTTATCGCAAAGTGCCAACACGGCAATTTAACCTGAATACTGAAATTTTACTTTAGAAAAAACAACCCATACATTAACTTAACATGATCCAACCAAAGTAAGGAAAGCAATCCCAAATGCTTTCATTTACTTAAAATTATTTGGCAGAGAATTCGACACTTTAATGATGGTCTGGGCCTGGCTGGGGCGATGGCACGCGTGCCCACAGAGAGGGCTCTGAGTGCCACCTCTGGCCCCTGTGCCATAGGTTCGCCACCATTGTCCTAGGCATTTGTGGCTGCAGGAATTAGCTTGGAAATGGGTGGAGAATCTGTCAATCATGCAAACCAAGGAGACTCAGGAGTTTGAGCTTGGATTTTTCTGGGCAAGGAAGGAGCGGATGAATGGTTTCCTTGGAGTGGAGGGGCTCCTTGGGAGAAACCCCTTGTCTTAGACTTTCCTCCATGCTGACTGCCACCTCATCGTCTCCGATAACAGGGACCCTCAGTGTGGTGTCCATGGGGGCCATGGCGCCTGCCAGCACCCTTCCTGGTGCCCAGCAAGCGGTTTTAGAGAGTGGGCGGGGCCAGGTGGGGCTTTTGCCCAGTAGGGTGTCTAATTGGCCACTGGAGAATTTGATTGACTGCACGGGTATTTTAAAAACGTTGAATTTGGCAGCAGCTGCCACCGCAGCAGAAGGGTCTTCATGGTTTGACTAAAGGTAACCACCAACAAACAGTACAGCACACAGCAAAAAATAGCAAGTAAGAACCAAAAAACAACCGTGAGCTGAATTACCCGCAAAAGTATACCCAAAAGGAGACTTCAACAAAGTGGAAAGCACATGTAACCAGTAATGAATCTATACATATAATCCATCATGGGGAAATACAGAAGTCCACAGGATCCATAGAAGGAAAAAACAAAGTCCGGAGTAGATATCCAACACTTTTCCTGGGTAGTATGCAGTGTTTCAGACTTCTGGTCCTTTCTCAGGAACAAAGAACTTTAGAAGTATGAAATACAATAATACTTTTTTAACAATATTACTTATTGACCATATTTCACAAAATTGATCCCAACAATACAAAATAATCATATTAAATACATATCATTATCACTGTTGCACATAGTCTCATTAAATCTTACCAACAACAGGAAGTCTCATTCCAATTTCTTTACAGGACAATACTATTCAGTTTCTCTGTAAAAGAGAATACCTCCTTAGAATTAAGAATATTTTAAAGAACAGCACAATATATGGACCACAAAGCCACCAATATATACTCACTTATGGGCCAGGTCTCCTAAGCTTTAATGTGCACCTCTCAAGGTTGCTTCTATGTAAACAGGACCAAACATGCCTCAGAGTATCCAGCCTACTAGGACTGCTTTCTGAATCTACATTGAGTGCAGCTGGTAGTATCCTGCTCAATTTTAAAGTTGCAGAAACCCCTATTGCATTTGTTCCTCTAAGCCGTGGAGTCTTGTGAGCAAAAACTCTTCTTGGTGAGCTCATGGCATTAAAGTTGTTAGCGAGCGATTTGGCTACTGCATAAATTAGTTTGTTCTGGAGCCCTCCTTCCTGAGCTAGGACAAAAATCTGTGAGCCAAAGGCTAAAATACTGTGAGCTAGCTCACACTAACTCAGCTTAGAGGGAACACAGCCCAAAATAGGGCTGTGGTACATGAGGGTCAAGCTAACATAATAAGTTATTATAAAAATACAAATATTTATTATGGTGTACAGACCAGTAAAATATAAAATAGGTTAAAAGAAAATGATTCAGATATCAGACCAGTAGAACATACACGTTTCAGACCCTTAGGGCCTTCCTCAGTGGTCAATATTACTATTGTAAAACAATACACATCCAGAAGTAAATATATGAACAAAGATTTTCTCTAGATCCCAGTGTTGCTTTCTCATATGATGTGCAATTGCTAAAGGTTTACATAGTGGGCCATGGATAATCTCTCATGGTAACTGCACATGCTCTCTAAATTGTTCTGGTAACAAATATCCAGTGTGTCTGGATGTGTGTCCCTTGATGGTCTACTGGTCATAAAGACATACCCATCAATTGTATGTGTATAACTTTCGGCGCTGTGTGTAAAAAGTTTCAAGTGTCTGATATTTGAATCATTTCTTTTAACCTATTTTATCTTTTAGTAATGTGCACACCATAATAGATATTTGTATTTTTATAACAACTTGTTTTGTTAGCTTGACCCTCAAACATATTGGGGACCGCTATAGCTCCTGACTAGGGAGAGATGCTTTGAGCCTTCTAGGAAAAGAGGTGTTGGTGGGGGGAGGTGGAGCAGGTCGATGCTCTGGAACGTGTCTCATGCTTCTGCGTAGTCTGTGACTGTCACTTTTCTCCCAGCCCTTCTCTCTGATGGGTTTGAATACTCCTTCTTTGAGTTACTTTCCCATCGATTAAGTTTCATCAGCCGACATTGCACATAACAGTGAACTCAGAGCTACTCACGTTTATTAAAATGCACAGCTTAGGATAAACTGTTAATGATCAACTACAGCTGGCGCAGCGCATTACTCAAGCCTTAAGTTCTGGGTCTTCTTTGTGATCAGAAAAATCCTTGAGACACCATGGAAACCGTAGCGGGAGCAGGCTTTGGCAGATCTCCCTAGGTGGAGAGTTTAGACTGAGGTTTCTAGGTGGGGGGGGGACCTCTTCCCTATATTTATTTATTTATTCAGTTTATACCCCACCCTCCCCACGAGCAGGCTCAGGGCGGCTTACATTAGCTGGTACATAGGTACCAATAAAATTCACATAAAATCAGTTAAAATAGTTCAAATACAATTACGATACGGATACAATAAAATCGTAAAGTGCTGGCGGTAGTTCATACATTACTTGACGTGGCGTGCAAAGGATGCATACAAATAGACAGTCTCCCCGCTCAGTGCTCTCCCTAATATCCCAACCAATCTGGCCTCTTTAAAAGAGGGAAGAGGTAGGACAAGGTTGCAACATCCATCTTAAAAGGCTTGGGGTGGTGCAGGTATGTACACACCTAGCCCTCCCCAAGGCTTTGGGAGGCATGGTCCTCCCCACCCTGTTTGTGGGCCTTCCAGTGGCCTTCTGGTTTGGCAAGCACGGTCTGATTTAGTGGAGCTATTCTAATGGTCTTTAAAACAGCTTTGTTGATGCCTGGCTTCCATGATGAAGAGCAGCGGCACTCGCGGCACCGGCAACCTGAGATTGACGAGGAGGAGCTAGCAAGGGTAGGCAAGGCTGCCTGTGAACGGCGGCAGTTGAGGGTACGGTTTCTTTCATGTGCAGGAGAGGTTTCAAGTCCTTAAGCCACCAGGGCACTGTGCAAAGCAGAGAGTGGCCTTGACTCAGAGGCAGAGCATGGGGCTTGCGTGCAGAAGGTCCCAAGCTCCGTCTCCAGCACTTTCAGCGAGAAGGATCTGTTGGGGAAGAGCTTTCCCTGTGGGGGAGACCCTGGAGAGCCGCTGCCAGTCATCTCAGGGTCCTGCACTGGATTGTCCAATGGTCTGACTGTGTTCCACCATGTGACTTCTGGCATCAAATCACATCTGTTCTCCTCCAGCTCCTCTTGGCTTTTTGAGCCAGTCCCCGCATTTTTAAGTGGCGGAGACCAGCCACCCTTTGGGCAGTGCTGTCAAACTCCTGGCCTCCTTGCTCGGCATTGTGGGAAGATCACCTTGGCAGGGTTTCTTTAAATTATGTACATATAGAGGGCAAGACAGGTCCACTAATCCA